CTGGCTGTTGCCGTCTTGTGGATACCATCTTTATTAGGCTTTTTACCATCCACCCTAGTCCCAAGCAAAAAGGCAAGGGAACCCTTTTAAGATGGTCTCTGATCCTGCAAGACTACCGCAGGATTAGGCAACTCGTACTGGGCAACAGCTTGGTAATGGGAGGTACATCCATGCAGCTGGTTGAGGTAAACCAGAATACCCTGATTCAGTGGTTTAATAACAGACAGAAGAAGCAGGAGCTGTCTGTGCTGCTTCAGGGTATTCAGTTGCCTCAACCCCTCCCAGAAGCCCAGGAACCTCTCCCAGTTGCCAAAAGTCTTCGGACAGAGCCAGACCAACCAGGAGAGCAGCACCAGTATGTGTTGCCAGAGAGCACAGCAGGTCAGGCAAGGCAGAGGCAGACATCTTTTGGACGACCCCCACTCAGACCCAAGGCACCAGTACAGACCCAGGTCATATTTACACCACCAGCACCTGGAGCATCGCTGCAGATGGTACCCAACATATACATCCCAGCTACACCAGGGTACCAGGGTATGCCGATGTTTCAGGGTGTACCAATGTTCCAGGCTGTGCCAATGGTCCAGGGAATCCCTATGGCCCAGGGTATCCCGATGATGCAAGGAGTGCAGATGGCCCAAGGTATCCCAATGGTGCAGGGGATGCCACTCAGACTGCCACCACTTCAGCCAACAATGTCCAGTACCAGCTCACAGCCTGCTGCATCACTGTCCACATCTGGAGCCATTCCCAAAAGACCGTACTGGAGAACTGTTCAAGTGAACACTTGTAAAAAGTGTGGGCAGTTCAAAACAAATGCCACAGGCCATAGCCAACTCAGGGGCAGGGTGTACTGCCCACAGACTGAAACTTTGACTAAAGAAGAGTGGCTAGAGGAAATGAAAAGGACCAATCCAAAATAATGTGTTTGTTTGTTTGTGTATGTATATAGTGTAATAGTTCTTCAGTTTATTCAATTTCACTTGCTGTTAGTTTATATTTTTATTTCACATTTTCTTTAAATAGTGTATTTATTTTGTTGACATTTTATTTAACTTTTATATTATTTATGTGTGTGTGTGTGTGTGTGTGTGTGTGTGTGAAGGCTCCAGAATACACAGCCAGTCTTGAACAGAGAGCTTGAGTTCAGTCTTTCTGCTCATCAGTTGCTTTGGTGTGACGCTGTGTCTGTAGTTTTATTTCTTCCTTCAATTTCTTCTTCCTTTAGTGATTGTGCTTGTTAACAGCAGGTGTTCATCAGCAGGTGTCTGAATTCACTTATTTGTGGTCATTCACTCTGTCTAGTGCAGTGGTTCTCAAACTTTTTTCACCAAGTACCACCTTAGAAAAAAATTGTCTCTCCAAGTACCACCTTACGACGCTATTTTTTAACCAGTATTAAAAATAGCGTTGTGGGCCTAATTAAGCAGCTACATGTGTGCACAGTTTAAAACGATGCAGATTAATTCCTATTATTAAGAATTTGTATTATTGTCAGTCCCTTTAAACATTTTAAATAGTCTAAACATTAACTGTGCTTGCAGGTAAAAAAAAAAAAAAAAGTTTTAGTTAAAATGTGCTTTTAAAGGTTCATAAAAAATGGCGCTGTTCTTAAAAAGTAAAAAGAAAACTGCTGCACTTAAATTTAAAGTATTCATATTAGCCTATTCATCAAAAGCTGGAAATGTTGTTTGGACCTCATAAATATAGGCTATATGTCATATTCATACACTTTTAGACAAATCTTGAAATGTTAAATGTACATATGACAGGGTTCAAACAGGCACAGCCTAATAAAAAATCAATTCCAGCACCTATTTTATTTTTCAAGACTGACATGCTATGTATTGAAGACCTGAAATGTATTCTCAACAACCCATAAAACATTGCATAGGAATAGATACACATAAAAACCATTAATAATAATAATAATAATTATTATTATTATTAATCATATATTAATAATATAATAAACCTGCACTTAATGCTTGTGAAATCTTTTTTGTACTCAAGGAAAATACTATTACACTGCTAAAATAACACAAATTTTAGTAAATAATACTAATATTAGGTAAAAGTACAAAGTACTCTTTTAAAAAGTACTAGTTGGTTACTTTTGAAAAAAAAAATCAGATTTTCATTAGGAAATCACTTTTTTTTAAGTGTAAACCTGATTGAATGGTTTAATTGCTTAAATCTCAAAGCTACATGTAAAGGAATTTGCACTAACAAAGGAAGTATGGTCGATTTTTCCTTTTATGACAATTAATCTTTTTTCAATAGCACTGGCAAAACTACCACATAAACTTTAAGGCCATAGAGACACCTTTTGCCCATTTTTAAACAATATTTTCAAGCTTTGAAAGGTTTAATTAAAGTATATGGTAAAAATATTTAAATTCAGCCTTTTATTTACATATTTTACACTATTTTTCTTTACAATATGGCAAATCTGTTACTTAAATAGCTGTACATCACATGTAGATTTTATTTTACACTTGATCTTAATCTTAAATACAAAAAAAAATAATACAAGTACACTGTCAGTAAAAAAAATAAATAAATGACTTCATTTTACTTGAAGTATTTGAAATATGACAACACTACATTTATCAAAGCAGTGCTTTAAGAGCCTTATTGTTAATTTTGATAAATAAACAATACGTAACAACGAATTGTTTTGACCTGTAATGCTTTAAGACAGATCAGAATACAGCTAAATGTATAACGTTAAATGACACAAATACCTCATCCAGAAACATTTCCAGCATAATTCTTTTGTCGTAAAGAAATAAGTCCCCCTTTGCTAAAAGTAAGTTTCACTTCACAATACAGCCAAATAAGACCATAAGCATTGTCATCAATCATGCATCAATCTAATTCTAAATACTTGATAACTTTGAATACTTTTGACTAAATTTAGTCAAGGAATAAAGATAAATAATGTCTACTTTAATAGTGGAGAGATCGCGATTGTATTCAATCTGAGCACACAGGCGATCATGAGAGGACTTGCAGTTCATTTGAAAAAAAGCCTATTTAGGAGCTAGCATATCTGTTTTAGCGATTTGCGTACATGAATGCGCTCTCTCGTGTTAAAATAAAGCACTCGCCACATTTGCAGAAATGAGTAATTGCGCAATACCTCCATTCCCGCGCCGCCATTCGGAATGTATTTAGAGGAGTGACAGGTCAGAGGCGAGTCGACTGGCTGTCGGAGAGCGAAACGTGTATGTAGATCATCAAAAAGGCAGGAAATATGTCCGCGATTTAATTACTCTGCTAGACTCTATAGTGAAAACATCCGAGAAGCATTATTCCAACAAAACATTTGTTTTTAAGTTGTTTTCTCTGTCTCTGCAACACAGAAAGCCTTTGTCCCGCCCTTACGTTTCACGCGACTAGAAAAGGTCGACTGTGATTGGCTACTTTTCATGTCAGTCACCCTTCAGAATCAATGCTTAAACTTCGGAAACTGATTTTCAGCAGCTTATGTCACAAAGCACTTAAATAAACACTCTAAGCACAGCGTTGTGATCGTACGCTTCACCAAGCAGACAATGCTGATCACATCGATGTTATATTACCCATCAAAGGATTAAAAGTGTTAATTGTTTCTTTCATTATTTGGCGATTCCTCCGCGTACCACTAAGAGGAAGCCCACAGTTTGAGAACCACTGCTCTAGGTGCTCCGGTAAGTAGGCGGTTCATTCCGCTGTAGTGACCCTTGATAAAAATCAGGGACTAGGCCGAAAAAGAAAATGAATGAATGAACATTTCAGCGAAATTAAACTGTTTTGGCTTCAGTCCTGACTAATCTAATGTATAAACACACATATTATTGAACAGCATCTGAGAGAAAGTAATAATTCATCAGAGAGATCTGTAAGGGGTGTACTCATTTCCATTTCCATCTGTAATCTTATTTTATTGATCCAACATTGCTTTAAATATTTTTCAGAGCTCTTGGATTTTATTTCAAATACCTTTTTCTCTATTCTCATATACCTCATATATATTATGTTACACTATGTGTGTGTGTATATATATATATATATATATATATATATATATATATATATATATATATATATATACTATATTATACTTTTTTTATATTCCTTCAACACACTCGTGCTCAGAGAAGCTGCACAGATATCTTCAGCTCCAGTTGTTTTTGTGTTGTCTCAAGGACACACCCACAGTCAGGAGAGTCTCATGAATATTCATGTCAGCATCACTCTGTGGAGCCAATAATATTTCAGGATCTACCTGTAGATCACACAGGTGTGTTTTAGTGAAGTGAAAGAGTGAAAGAGCTCAGATTGTGTTCCTGCTGCACAAGAGCGTCTGTACTTCTGCATGTGAGTTTAACACTTCTACATTACGCTGATTTGTGGAGATGATGAAGGGGTTTTATATGTGTGAGTGTGATTTAAATGTCTGATCCTGAAGATTAAATCCTCAAACACAGATTAAACACTGAGTCAAACACGCTCATTTAAACACTGTGTCTAAAAGCTTTATTTTTAATCTCTTTAAAGTGTTTGTGCTCTTCTATATCAGACTGACTCAATAGTGTCCAATAATTCAGCATTAAATATAACTCTAAACATTCAGAGTCACCAAATCAAAAGTAAAGTTAAAGCAGACCTTCCAGTTGAACAGGAAGAAAAGCTGCTGAAAACAACAAGCTGACGATCCTTAAACAACACTGCATTTAACCCTTTACTGTCAGAGTAACTCATTTTATATATATATATATATATATATATATATATATATATATATATATATATATATATATATATATATATATATATGATTGTCTCCTCAAAGCTCTGCTAATGTCTGCATTGGTGTTTTAGCTACAGTATGGCAGAGGAGCGAGTAAAGGACTCTCTCTCAGAGAAACACAGGTATTGACTCTGTTTTTGCACCATTATTTCAACACTTTGTCTGAAGAACAAAGACCAACAACAATGCACTTATTTGTGTTGCTATTGCCTGATCAAATGGTGGTACAGTTTTCTTCTTAGCTGCTACTTGGTGAAAAATGTTGGAGATCTACTGGTTTAAAGCCTGTTGTGTAAAGGTACAAGAGAGACCTTTGCACACTTGTTTTGATATGTCTGAAAACCTTAAAATAAACCCCTCAGCTGTCAGAACACAGTAAACACAGTAAGTGTGTTTGTGCACACACTAATCTGTGGTTTTACTCCAATGAACTCCATATGAAATGCAGAAACTATTCAGCTCAGGCCGATCTAAAGGGTTAATGCTGACATCTGATCAACAGTAAAAATTCTTTCCAACCAGCACCAATAAGAACTGCATGATCAGATGCTGATATTGCTTCATTATATGAAGTCATTGGGGTAAAAACAGCCACAAACATAAGCCACAAACATTAGCAATACACAAAGATTAATACAGATATACATGTTAAACTTAATGTGTAGTTCAATGAAGGGAATTTTGTTTATTTTTTTGTCTTTTGTCATTTATTTTTATTAATGTTTTGTTTTTTATGGTTGAGCCAATGATTAGTTTGCCCTTAATTAAACTACACAAACTCCTATTTGTCTGATAAACTCTTCTAAAGGAGACTGAAGTTTGTCCTGCAGTTTATTCCTCTGGTGTGTTTGTTTGTTCAGTGTGAGATCAGGATCATGTGTGTCCAGCTCTGTGTCTCTGAAGAGTGACTGGTCAAAAGGGAATCCACCAGAGTTTAGTGGGGAAACACCATCATCTGCACAAAGGTATTGTGTGTTTTACATTATTGCTCATGCTCACATCAACAGTTTTGTGTAAACCAACAATTCAGTAAAGAGAGTCATTCCTGAATAAATCAGTTGTTTGGATTAATCAAATGACTTTAGTGATTCATTAAGACATTTACAGACACCTGGCGTCTTATTCAGAGGATCTTTTATTAAATATTAATATCAGATTTATGTTGATTATTTCATTTGTGGAACATGAAAGATGTTTTGAAGAAGTTTATAACCATATTGTTTTGTAAGTATATCTAAATAAAGGTCAAGCTTTTGAAGGTAAATGTAGCTGTGTTGTTTTGTAGCTAAAAGTTTGTGTAATAATGAACTGTAAATCAAATATTTATTTCAAAGCTGACTTTGTGGTTGACAGGGCTTTTTAATGACAGAGACAATAGTATGTGATTTCTCAGCTCAATGTAACAGAAAACTCAAGTAACAAATCTGTCCACTACCTCCCTATTATGAGCACTACATGTATTATTTTCAGTGTTTGTAAGATTTGTCTGTGTTTGTTTGCCGCTAAATGTATAATTACTGTTGTTTTATTTGTTAACAGTGTTGAATATGAGTCAGCAGATTTAGGAGACGAGACTCACCGGGTACACATGAGTTTCACAGACAATCTCCAGTGGATCTTCCAGGTGTGAAAAATAGTTATTTTAAAAATATACTGCTTAATTAAAATGTAAAGCAATTAATTTAAGTAATCATTGACTCCAGTTCATTGGATTATAATAAAATAATGCACAACTGTGATTCTCGTGGAGTCTCTGTTACCCCTCTGTGTGCATTATTTTCTAAGAAATGAATGGATTAGTCAATTATTCTGCATATTATTTTGGTTCAATAGATGTCCAAATGAGGATGGCTTGACTAAAGGCTAAGTTTGAGCTTTTGTGGAACTTTAAAAGTAATCCAAATCTAGACTAACAATACAAAGATTAGACAGACTTCACACGTGCAGTCATTCATTCATGTGTATTTGATGACTAGTCTAGTTTGGGCTATTCTTTCATGTCTTCTATATTTTCACTGACAGATAAATGTAAGCCTTGTTTTAGCTAAAACATCAATGTTTAGGTGTCTATTAGAGTTTAAACACACACAAATTATTAGTTATTTTAAACACACAAAAAACATGCTCTCTGAGATGCTTATGTTTTCACATTTAAAGCCACTGTTCAGATATTGCATTACAGACATTAGACAGATTTTTGTTCTCAAACTGCTCCTGTTTATAAGACAAATCATTACAAATCCTTATCTTACAAATCCAAAACCTTCAGTTGTGTTTTGATATGACTTGGCTTCTGTAGCTGTAAAATTATTAAAATCATTCTGCATTCATAAATGTGCTCAATGCCTGCCAGAATCTACTTCATCTGAGAATAACTGCACACTCTATATTGTTAATCAGCCAATAAAATAAAGCACAGTCCTGTAGTATGATGTATTATAATGTATTTGTAATTGTTCAGTAGTTGCAAATTAATGTTTGGTAACATTTAATAATAACTTCATACTATGAATCATTATTAAGCATTAGCAAATAGTGAATTCATTTTCTGTTAAGCATTAACTCTACATTAATAACATTAGTAAACAGTTTATAACTGCAGCTACAAATGCTCTACGCTTGATTTACAACCACATTTATGATGTGCCTAATACTTGTACTTTCATACTTTGTTAATGATTTATTTTTCAATACTTAATTATTACATTATTTCCAAAACAGTTATATAAGAGTAGTTTAAGATCATTCAGGATTAGTTCATAAATGATTAATAAACTGTTCAAATGAACATTTATAACTCCTATTATTCAGGCATATATTAATAGTTAATTTATTTGTTAATAAATGCTTTATTATCTCAACTTCATGCAGTTTTGTGACCTAATTTAAAGTGAGGACTAGTTATGCTTTATAAATCCCTTATAAATGACTGTTAAAGGCTCAGTTAAATTCTAAACAGGAAAAAAGAAAATAAACAACTTTATTAATTTCTATTCATTTGAAAACACACAAATGAAGCTGTACTTCAAATAAAAAATGTATCTTTGCATCCTTATCTAAAATAAAATTACTGTACAGTTTAAACATTGCTTCCTAATATATTGTTAAATTATTATATTGTTGTTGTTTTTCCCAATTTTATGTCATATTTTGACACTCCTGTTAATCAGCAATGTTTAAACTTTACAGTAATTTTTTAGATAAGATTGCAGTTTTATCATTCATTTGATACCAAACCTTTAATGGTCATTTATAAGGGATTTATAAAGCATAACTAATCCTCACTTTAGATTAGCTCACAAAACTGCATGAAATTGAGTTAATAAAGCATTTATTAACATACAAATTAACTATTACTATATGCCTGAATAATAAGATATATAAATGTTGATTTCAATAGTTTATTAATCATTTACTAACTCATTCTGAATGATCTTAAAAACCACCAACTACACTGTAAAAAATTGCTGTTAAAAAACGGTCAGATTCTACAGTAAAATAATGTTTTTTTCACTTAAACAGTAATATTCTGTTAAAAACAATGCTTTGTGGGTAACATTTTTGTTTTCGAGAAAGTAACCAACTGCAGAAAACTGTGAGCTAACAGAGTTCAGATTCGATGTTTTGAAGTCTGTGTTTGAAATCACGCTTTGTGTCCTTGTTCACTATTTCATACACTAGTTAACTAATATAGTTCACCTGACAGTTTTAATGAACACTAATGAGTGAATTCAGACACTGATGAACACCTGCTGTTAATAATCACAATTACTGAAGAAAATAAACAAGAAACACAAACAGTGACTTGAGTTACAACATTAAATAAAATAAAACAGCTTCAGTCTCAGCAGAGGATCATTAAACAACTCCACAAACAACAGCAGACACACTTATTACTGACTGCTTGGACTTCCATACTATTCTCATTGAGATCCAACAGAAATTAAGGTGTTTTTTGTGTCACCATAATGGAGTGAGGGGCTGGTTTAGTTGGGCTCTTCACCCTTGAACTTATTTAAGAAGATTTTCCAACTGCTGTAATACAGAGTTAACAAAACACTTGTATTATAGCAATAAAGTTGGGAAGTCAATAAACAGAGAAATCTATTTGACTGAAATTAGTTCTGATAAATGTTTTGTTATAAATCTGAAAGAAGGGCCTAATGCAATAGATTTTATGCTTAGTTGCAGGTATTAATTTAATTAATGAGAAGTGGAAACAGAAAAGATACCTCCGTAATTACTTAACAGTTAAGAAATAACATACAAAAACAGTTCAGTTATGACAAATAAACACTCAGACCTCATGAATCTGACCTTGTATTTCAACAATGGTAACATCTCAAATGTTTCATGCTGCAATGCATGCTGGGAGTGGCACTGTACAAATATCCCAGCATGCATTGCGGTATAAATAAATGTTGTATAATGGTCTAACAGTTTTCTTTATTTGTGTTTGATTCTGCTGTTGTTTATGTTTAGACTTTCAGTTGCCTGTTTGTGAGTTAAACTGTTAATTTTGTTAGTTGTCACCATTATTGAGGTTCATATGCTGATTATTGATGTCTCTTTGAGTCAATTTACACCATAGAGCAGTGTTATTGTCCAAGATATTCTTAAAAACTTACAGAAATCATTGCCATATATAGACGTATAATGTAAAAAAATAGATTTAACATTGAATAGGAGCAGTAAATTTTATTATACTAAATGAGAACAGACTCTGTCATTTAATAGCAACATGAACATCACCAGATCTTAATAAGATTCCAAATTTACATGTATGTGTGCTGTTGTGAAATATAAGACATTAGAGTTAAACCAAACTTTTCTAATTAACTAAAATAAGTTATCATTGTAAGTATACTTCTAAGCATGTATAGCACATTACTTCATAAACTCATACAGCAGTCGACCAATTTGAGGTGGGCAAAATGAGTTCACTTGAGTATTGTGTAAATCAATGTAGTCCATGTATTTTTACAGCAACATACTGTAAAATAACAGTACATTGCTGGCAACTGCAGCTGCCAGTATTTTACTGTTTTTTAACGAGACAATTTTTAACAGTGTACTCTTAAATACAAATGGTTTGTAAATAATGTGATACTTAATGAAAATAAATCATTAACAAAGCATGAAAATGCAATTATTAAGCACATTATAAATGTGGTTGTAAATCTAGAATAGAGCATTTGTAGCTGCAGTTCTAAACTGCTTACTAACGGTTATTAATGTAGAGGTAATGTTTAACAGATAATGATTCACTAGATGCTAATGCTTAATAAATGGTTCATAGTGTGTAGTTGTATAAAGTGTTACCGAATGTTTTGGTTAAATGTTCTTCTTGTTTCTTCAATCATAGAATCTTGAGAGCAAAATTATCAGATTTCTGAAGAATGAACTGGAGAAATTTAAGAAAATCTTACAAGCAGAAAACAGACAAGAGTTTGTAAAAGACTTTAATGAGAACAGAAGCAGAATCACAGAAGCAGCTCTTGATCTCACACTCTTCTTCCTGAGAGAGATGAAGCAAGATCAAGCTGCTGATACTCTTGTGGGTAAGAGAATCATGGCTATAACCACAGGAACCTGCAGATTTACACAGATCTTTAGCCCATCATTTTTTAATTAATTAATTAATTATTTTTTTATTAATTCAGTAATATTGTTGACTAATATGAAAATGTTCATAAGATTTATTTACAGTACAGTTTATAAAGTTATATTTTCTGTCCTTTAGTAGATCTGTTATTTACGAGACTTTTGCTTTATTTAGAAATTAAGTGGACCTAATTTGATTTTTATCATAAAGATTACATATTATTAAATATTATTATTTTACAAGTTAAAAAGGTGTTATTTTTATTTAGTATTTTATATAATTAATTTTTATTTATGATAATACCAAAGATATGATATTCCCAAAATCATTCCGCTGTAATCTACAGATATTTTACAAAATTCTCCTCAGAAATAGCAAACAATGTCTGAAAATGTTGTCTGGCCCTACTCATGGTGATCTGTCAGACTGACACTTAAAAATAAGTCAAGACTAAATCTCTGCTTCTTTGCTCCTGTGTTTAGATGACCTGTTCTTCATTAATCAGCTTAAATGTGGCCTGAAGAAGAAATATCAAAGTGTGTTTGAAGGAATTGCTCAGCAAGGAGACTCCACACTTATGAATAACATCTACACAGATCTCTACATCACTCAGGGTGCGAGTGAACAGGTCAACACTGAACATGAGATCAGACAGATTGAAGCTGCTTCCAGACATCATCAGTCACTAGAGATACAGGTTGAATGCAAACATTTGTTTGTAGCAGCTGAACAAGACGAGCAGATCAGAACTGTCCTGACAAAAGGAGTTGCTGGCATCGGGAAATCAGTCTCTGTGCAAAAGTTTGTTCTGGATTGGGCTGAAGGGAAAGAAAATCAAGACATCAGCTTCATATTTCCTCTTCCATTCAGAGAGATGAACTTAAAGGAGAAAGAAAGACAAAGTTTAAAAGACCTCATAACTCAGTTTTTCCCAGAGACTAAAGGACTGAACCTTACAAGAAGCACACGATCCAAAGTCCTGTTCATCCTTGATGGATTGGATGAATGTCGTCTTCCTCTGAACTTTGCTGGTAATGAGACGTGTCGTGATGTATCTTCAGCAGTCTCTCTGGATGTTCTCCTGACGAACCTCATCAAGGGAAATCTGCTTCCTTCTGCTCTCATCTGGATCACCAGCAGACCAGCAGCTGCCAGTAAGATTCCTGCTGACTGTATCGACCGGCTGACAGAGATACGAGGATTCAATGATGCCCAAAAGGAGGAGTACTTCAGAAAGAGACTCACAGATCAGAATCAGGCCAGAGAAATCATTGATCACATTAAACAGTCAAAGAGTCTCTTTATTATGTGCCACATCCCAGTCTTCTGCTGGATTTCAGCCACTGTTCTCCAGAACATACTGAAACTGAAACACAGGGCTCATGCTGAAACACTGCAGGCATCTCCCAAGACTCTGACACAGATGTACACACACTTTCTCCGCTTTCAGATCCAGCAGAGCAGAAGAAAGTATGATGGAGAAAACACAGCAGATGTCTCCTGGGATCCAAACCTCATCCTTTCACTGGGGAAACTGGCCTTCCAGCAGCTGAAAAGAAACAATGTGATCTTCTATGAGAGCGATCTGAAAGACTATGGCATTGACGTCTATAAGGCATCGGTGTACTCAGGCATGTGTACCCAGATCTTTAAGGAGGAGACGGGAATCATTCTTGGTACCATGTACTGCTTTCTTCACTTGAGCATTCAGGAGTTCATTGCAGCCCTTTATCAACATCTGATTCTAGACAATGACAAGAAGCATGGATGGTTTTTCATACAGAAAAGCAAAACTAAAGGCAAGATTGATTTCCTGAAGGCTGCAGTGGACAAGGCTCTGGAAAGTGAGAATGGACATCTGGATCTTTACCTTCGCTTCCTTCTCGGTCTGTCACTCCAGTCCAATCAACAACTCTTACGAGGCCTGTTGACACAGCAGGATGACAGAGACCAGAGCAAAGAGGAAATAATTGCCTACATCAAGCAGAAACTTGAAGGGAATCTGTCTCCAGAGAGATCCATCAATCTGTTTTACTGTCTGAATGAACTGAACGACCAAACTCTGCTGAAAGAGATTCAGTCTCACCTCAGTAGAGGAAGTCTGTCATATGCTCGCCTTTCACCTGCCCAGTGGTCTGCTCTGGTCTTTGTGTTGTTGACCTCAGAGGAGGAGCTGGAGGAGTTTGAGCTTCAGAAATTCCAGAGATCAGACGAGTGTCTCATCAGACTATCAGCAGTCATCAAATCCTCCAAAAGAGCTCTGTAAGTCTAAGTGCTTTAATCTAAGAGATATACATTGGCTAAAATTAAATAATACATCATGTTAATGAACATGCACCATATTGATGTCATCTGCACATCAAAATACTGTTGATAATTGTTTATTATTTAATATTTTAGTGTTTTAATAATATCCAGATGAATGTATTGGCAGTGGTTGTTTAAGAAATAGTTTACCCAAGAGTGTACATTTCCTCATTTACTCACCCTCAAGGGGTTTTAAACCTTTCTAAAAGTTTCTTTCTCCTGTTGAAAATAAAGAAAGATTTTTTGAGAAATGCTGGAAACCTGTAACCATTGACTTACATAGCATTTGTTTCTCCTATTATGGAGGTCAATGGCTAATGGTTTTCATCTGTCTCAAAAAATTTTCTGTTGTGTTCAGCAGAATAAATCATAAAGGCTTGGCAGCACTTGATGAGTAAAGGGGTGAACTATCTCTTTAAAACCGCAAATAAACTAAAGTACATTATCTATGATCAGTAGCTGATGTTATTGATGAGGTAAACGCATATTTAAAGAGTACAGTTGAAAATTCAGGTCTGCTCAGCATCTGTGGTTATCTTCCCTCATGGAGGATCATTTTATAACTGACATGGGGATTTGTATGTGTTGTATTGATTCTTTTGTGTGGAAATTGCACACAAGTCAGCTATAAATGATGCAGCACCTTTAAAATCATTTCTGGTAAGGGTGGAATGATCACACTGATGTTTTTTTTTTCTCTCTATTCTGTCTATTTTGACTTTCTCTATGCTGGTAATTATCAAGTAACAATGACTTGTGTCCCTGTTCATGGATAATATTTGACATTGCCTTTTGAGTCCACTAGTGTTGTAGTGTTTCCTATTAAGGTCAATCACTCACTCATTCACCACCCTTCGGCTGTTCTGGATTTATATTCATTTAATACTTTTTATTATGTTTGTAAACACACATACACTCTCTCATTCACACACACACATGCACACACAAACACACACACACACACACACACACACACACTATGGTCAGTTTTGTTTACCCAATTCACCTATTCCATATGTCTTGTGGGGGAAACTGGAGCTGGGACTCGGACTAGCAACCTTCTTGTTATTAGGTGAAAGTTCTCTTCTTTATTATATCTTCTTCTTATCATGCAGGCAGTAAAAGCAAATGGAAGAGCTGGAACTAGGTGCAGTGTTAATGTTTAATATATTCCATACACAAAGAAACTGACAGAGCTCAAGACCAAAAAAGAAAGACAAACATACACACACACAGCAAACTATGATCAACACATAATGACTGAAACAGAGGAGCTTAAACAAACAGAGACTAGTGAGTTAACAGAGGAGTGACAAGAAACTGGGCAACTAACAGGGGTAACATTGGGGAAAACTGGGGTGAACACAGAGAATACATGGAAACGACAACCATGTTAATGAAACCATGACAGGGTACAGGACAGGTGAGGGGTAAACTGACAGGCAGGTGGACAGGGAGGAGGACAAAGCCAAGGCAGGGATTACTGGACAGTAAACCAGGGCAGATCCCGTGGATCAGGCCTTTTATCTCAGAGGCTTTAGAGAAGATTGTGTCTGTACAGCTGAATGATTTCATGTTTAATAATAATGTTTTTGATAAATTTCAGTCAGTTTGGAGCTGGTCATAGCACAAAGTCCGCTCTATTGAGGCTTTTTAAATGATGCTGTAGGAGCCATTTGTTTATTTTATTTAAGGGTTGTGTTGTTAATCTTATTTTATTTTGGAGATTAGCACCCCCTGCAGGCTAGTGAAAGCTTAAAAGGCCTGGGTGTGGCCTACTGGAGAAGAGCCTGTTGGGAGCACATGGTCTTTAGACCTCACCTTCAGTGTTTGTTGGCCAAAGTCGTTTGATTTTGTATACTTCATATCAGTTTTAACTAACTCTGCAATAAACAGCCACAAATGACGACTTATTGTTCCCTGTATTATTTTCTAAGGAAGCGTCTAAACCATAGATGTGACTAATTAGAAATTTTGATTAAGGATAGTGAAAACAGATGTCTTTTTGGAGCTTGATTTAGGTGGCCCTGTTGTTCTTCTATTGTTGGATCTCACTGCTGCATTTGATACAGTGGATCATGACATCCTCATTAATCAGCCTAGAGAACACGCTGGTATCCAGGGTCTAGCCTTGGAATGGTTCTCTTCATATCTAAAGGATAGATCTTTATCAGTCAGTTTGGGCAACTCTTGTTCTTCTGTCATTCAATTAGTGTTTGGTTTCTGCAGAGCTTGATACTGGGTCCGGTTTTGTTTTCCCTTTACTTATTTTCGTTGGGAATTTTTTAATTTTTTTTAAAGCATGGCATAAGTTACTGTCTATATGCTGATGACTCTCAAATCTACTTCCTCATGAAGTTTGAGGATCAGTTCTCCCTTCTGGCTTTGTTTAATTGTTTGGCTGATCTGAGAGATTGGTTAGTGAATAACTTTCTCCAACTGAAGGAGGACAAGTGTGAATTGATTGATTTTGGTAAAAAAT